GTAATCCCAGCACTTTGGGAGGCTGAGGTGGGTGGATCATGAGGTCACGAGTTCAAGACCAGCCTGGCCAAGATGGTGAAACCCCCTCTCTACTAAAAATACAAAAATTAGCTGGGTGCAGTGGCAGGTGCCCGTAATCGGAGCTACTTGGGAGGCTGAGAAAGGAGAATTGCTTGAACTGGGGCGGCAGAGGTTGCAGTGAGCCAAGATCGCACCACTGCACTCCAGCTTGGGCAACAGACTGAGACTCCATCTCAAAAAAAAAAAAAATTGGTGATTCATGCAAGGAGATCAAAATATTAACATTAACAGGAGTTTAGAGGAAGTTGATTCTTTGAGGGGTTGAAGACCAGTGGAAAAAGCCATTGCAAATGTGAGGAAAACAGCAAGAGAACCAGAATTAGAAGTAGAGCTTGAAGATGTGACTGAATTGCTGCAATCTCATGATAAAACTTGATCAGATGATGAGTTGCTTCTTGAATGAGAAAAGAAAGTGGTTTCTTGAGATGAAATCTACTCCTGGTGAAGATGCTGTGAACATTGTTTAAATGACAACAGAGGCTTTATAATGTTTTATAAATTTGGTTGATAAAGCAGCGGCAGAATTGAGAGGACTGATTCCGGTATTGAGAGTTCTTCTGTGAGACAAATGCTATCAAACAGTGTCTTCTGCTACTGAGAAATCTTTTGTGAAAGAGTCAATTAATGTGGCAAACTTTATTGTTATCTTATTTTAAAAAATTGCCACAACCACCCTAACATCTAGCAACTGTCACCCTGATCAGCCGTCAACACCAAAGCAAGACAAAGATTACAACTTACTGAAGGTTCAGATAATTGTTAGCATTTTGGGAGTATTTTTAAATTATTTACATCATTTAGACAGATTGCACACTGAACAGATGATAGTATAGTGTAAACATAACTTTTATAGGCACTGGGAAACCAAAAAATTTGTTTGACTCACTTTAGGGTGACACGCATTTTATTGAACTGATCTGGAACCAAACCTGCAATCTCTTTGAGGTATGCCTGCATGCACAGATAAATTTTACATACCATTTTAACAGCTGGCTCATTTATGGAGGCCAAGGGTTAAAGGCTCCAGGTTAATCATCCTGTTGTATTTACAGCTTATCACTCTAGGCTTCTCTTCTGGCACTTTTCCTACTTCCAAAGCACAAAACTCCAGGAATACTGAACTATCTTACAGAACATACACCACTGTTTATACCACAGAGTCTAAACTCATTATTTATGTAACTTTAACTCAATCTTGATGAAGTCTAATTTATCTATTTCTTTTTCTTTTGTTGCTTATGTCTTCAGTATTATGTCTAAGAAACCACAGCCTAGCCCAAGATCATAAAGATTTACTCTTCAGTAAATCTTTCTTAGAATTTTTATTCTAAGAGTTTTATTGTTTTAGCTTTTACATTTAGACTTGTGCTGCATTTTGAGTTACATTTCTTATGGTGTGAGGTAGTGGGCCCAGCTTCATTTTTTGCGTGTGGCTATCCAGTTGTCCCAGCACTAACTGTTGAAAAGACTGCTTCCCACTGAATTATCTTCAGACTTTATTGAAAATCAATTGATCATAAATGTTGAGGTTTATTTTAAGACTCTAAATTTTACTGTATTAAGCTGAATGTCTATCACTATGCCACACTATGTTGATAAACGTAGCTTTGTGGTATGTTTTGAGATAGGGAAGTATGAGTCTTTCAACTTTGTTCTTTTTCAAGTTTGTTTTGGCAATTTTGGATCCTGCACATTTCCATATGAATTTTAAGACCAACTTATAAATTTCTGCAAAAAGGAAGCTGGGATTTTGATAGGAATTGTGATGAAATGCTACATCAACTTGAATATTGCCATCTGAGCAATATTGACTTCAAATCAATAAATAAGAAATGTCTATTTATTTAGATCTTTAATATTTCCAACAATATTTAATATCTTTCAGTGTACAAGTGTTACATTTATTTTGTTAGTTTATTTCTTTTTGATGCCATGGTAAATAGAATTGTTTTCTCTATTTTCAGATTATTCATTGCTATAATAGACTAAAACATATTTTTGTATATTGATTGCTATGGACTATGTCCTCCAAATTTCATATATTACAGCTCTAACCCTCAATAAAATGGTATTTGGAGATGGAATCTTTGGGAGATAATTAGGTTTAGATGAGGTCATGATGGTAACAGTGGCCTTATAAAAAGGGACACCAGAGATCTCGCACTCCACCCTGACACAACCCCAAGCACACACAAAAAGAGGTAAATATGAGTATACTGTGAGAGGGTAACCAGCATAAGTCAAGAGAAAAGGCCTCAGAATGAAATCTGTCTTGCTGGCTTTGATCTTAAACTTATCAGCCTTCAGAACTGTGAGAAATAAATTTCTGTTGTTTAAGCCACCTCTTCCATAGTATTTTTGTTATGGCAGCCTGAGCTGACCCTGATGGATCATGTATAATGTAACCTTGTTGAAGTTGCTTTAATTGTATGTATGTGTGTATTCCTTGATAATCCTACATAAAAGATTATGCAACTGTGAATAGAGATAGTTTTACTTTTTCTTATCTATTCTGGATAACTTTTATTCACTTTATTTTCTTGCCTAATTCCACTGGCTAACATTTCCAATATATTGTTGAACAGAAGTGGTGAGAGTGGAAAAATCTTTGTCTTGTGAATGATCTTAGAAGAAAAGAATTGTCTTTCACTGTTAAGTATGATGTTAGCTGTGGGGTTTTTCTAAGCATCTTTATCAGGTTGAATAATTTCTCTTCTTTTCCCAGCTTGTTTATCACAAAAGCATGTTGAAATTGGTCAAATGCTTTTTCTGCGTCTATTAAAATTATCATATAATTTTTGTCCTGTATTCAATGGTACATTAGATTAATTGATTTGGGGATGTTAAACCAACTTTGTATTCTTGAAATAAATATCATTTATTCATGGTGTATAATATTTTTTTCATACGCTACTGAATTTGGTTTGGTAGTACTTTTCTGAGTATTTTGTGTTTATTAACAAGGGATATTGGCCTGAAGTTTTCTTTTCTTTTTTCTTTCTTTTTTTTTTTTTTTTTTTGTGAGACAGAGTCTTGCTCTGTCACCCAGGCTGGAGTGCAATGGCCCAATCTCGGCTCACTGCCACTACTGCCTCCTGAGTTTGAGTGATTCTCCTGTCTCAGCCTCCCGAGTAGGTGGGAGTACAGGCATGCACCACCAGGCCTGGCTAATTTTTGTACTTTTAGTAGAGACAGGGTTTTGCCATGTTGACCTGGCTGGTCTCGATCCCTTGACCTCAGGTGATCCCTTCGCCTCAGCTTCCCAAAGTGCTGGGATTACAGGCATGAGCCATCGTGCCTGGCCGAAGTTTTCTTTTCTTGTTGATTTCTTTGGTTGGCATCAGAGTAATACTTGCCTTATAGAAATAGTTGTAAATTGTTTCCTCCTCTTCTATATTTTGGAATAGTTTCTGAAGGGTTATTCTTTAATTGTTCAGTGGAATTTACCAGTGAAGCCATCAGGACCTGTGCTTTTCCTTCTGGATAGGTTTTTTTCTTGCTAATTCAATTTCTTTAATTGTGTTAGATCTAGTCAGATTTTTTTTTAATGTCTTCTTGAGTTGATTTAGTTCGTTTGTGTTTTTCTAGGAATCTGGCCATTTTATCTATCTTTTTTAGCATAGTTGTTCATAGTATTCCTTCTTATTCCTGTTTATTTCAGTAAGGCTGTTAGTGATGGTTCTTTTATTCTTGCTTGTATTGAATCTTCTCTCTTTTTTTTTCTTAGTTTCACTAAAGATTTGCCAATTTTGGTTTCATTGATTTTCTTTATTGATATTCTGTCTCTTTCTTTTCTAATCTTTATCATTTCCTCTCTTCGGTTTGCTTTTGTTTTAGCTTTCTTTTTTTCTAGTCTCATGCCTCTAATGAAAGGCCTCATCTCTTCCAACTCATTCTCTTCAATTGTTGCCAAAATTGTTTGTGTATCTGAAACACAAATTTGATGGTGTCACTTAGAAGCTTAAGTCTTCTCATTGTTCCCATTCCTTACAAAATAAAATTCAAATTTTGTAGAATGGCAAACAACACCTTTCATGATCTTAACCAGTTTACCTTAACAATCAAATCCACCTTTCCAATCACATAAAATCACCTGGAATTTATAGATACATTGTTTAACCTCTTTTCCTTTGTACTTGTGTTTTCTTAATTTGTTCTTTTCACCTACTGACTTTTTAGAAAATACCTTCTTTAACTCCAGTCACCCACACTTTTTATTTATTTCCTTTTCCCTGGTACCATTACACTTTGCACCAACTTCTTTTAGTTACGAAATTATTTATTAATACACGCCTCCTTCATTATTCTTTGAATTCCAGGATGTACAATCCCATTTTAGAAATTATATCCCAGTAACTGACACATAGTGAGTGGTCAGTGTTTGTGGAGAGAGGAAAAAGTGGTATGGTCTGATATCACTTCAACTGAAAAAAATGAGAAAAAGGATGATGTACTTCAGCCAGTGAAATCGAAAAGAGTGATGGAAAATGACCACACACTCCATATGGCTTTGGTTCGTAAGACACAGAATACGGATATCCTTGTGCGAAGAACTAACTTGCTGCTGAGAGGTCAATTCAGAGGATGCTCAAGCTCCGTTATCACCTTCATTTTACTAAACTGAGAGAGAAAAGTTGAGGAATGCATCAACAGTTAAGCAGAGTGCAGGTTCCTACAGCGACTGGAGTTTTTTGGTAGTCGGGAATGTTTCCCTCAATCTTGGGGCAAGCCGTCAGCAGTGGCAGGGACAGGAGCAGACACACCTGAGAAACCCTTTCTTTCCCCAATCGTATTCTGCCTTAGCTTTAGGCTTGCATGCCCATCACGCATGCGTCAATTTTTCGCTTTTAGGATGGGCGGGGCAGAGTCTTTGCTCCTTTGGAGATCCTGAGGGGGTGGAGCTAAGCTGTTTCCAGGGTGACAGAGTGGCGACCTCGGTGGTCGATTGAGCAGGTCTGAGAATTGTTCCCAAAGGGCTGTGCGTCATTGACTCGTCGGCGCTGTCATGGCGGGTGTACTGAAGAAGGTGAGACGAATGGAGGTCACTGTTGGAATTTAGACTGTTGGGGTAGACTCAGTCCGATAACCCTAATTCCCGCGGGGGTTGACCCTAACTGTCGCGGGTTCGGCGGTGCTTTTCGGGGACTCGTTCTTCATGCCCTACCTGGTAGGGCCGGTTAGTGGTTCCGCTCGGAGAGTCAGAAAAAAAGCTCCAAACAAGCGGGACTGAGAGACCAGTAGCTGGCTTTAGACCAGTTTTAGCCGGGGGATTCGTGGTTTTGTGTTTCCTTAGCGTGCTGGACGTATGGAAACCGTAGTAAACAGCATGAATCGTGTTTTCTTTTTGAACAGACCACTGGCCTTGTGGGATTGGCTGTGTGCAGTACTCCACACGAGGTATGTAGCTTTGTTCTTTCTTCATTCCTGAATTCCCAAAGAAGACTAAATTCCTGTCACTTTGCTTATTGCAGGGTTAACGGGATACTGATATTTCAAGTCCTTAATTACAACCCGCGTGAGCTCTTGAGTTACGGGCGCTGTCCACCTACTTCGTTGATCCGATGTCACATTTTTTTTTTATTTATTTCTGTCATGACCCCTTTATTAAGCCAGTTTTCTTGTTGACTTTTTCCTTGACATTTTCGTGTCTTCACTTGTACGTGCTTCTGTCAGCGCCATCTCAAATTTGTATCTCCATTTTCCATCTTTTCTCCCCGCCTCACCGTTTATGCTTAGGTGAGTTGGATTACATATATTTAAGCTTACTGAAGGTACTGCCCGCTTTTCCTTCTATAGGTCTTTTGCATTTGTATTCACGAATGTTTTCATCAAAAAAACCCACAAATTTTTTTTATCCTTCTCCCTTCTATAATCGCACCATTTCTCTGCTTCTCTTTACAGATAACTCAAAAGAGTTATCTCTATTTTCTCCAATTTCTTTTTTATTCACCTTGAATGCACTCAGTCACCCTTGGCGTTTTTCAAGTTCCCCAGTTATCTCCGTGCTGCCAAATCCAATGGTCAGCTCATCTTTCTCACCTTCATTGACCTAATAGCAGCGTTTTTTGACACATTTGACACTTTCTCCATCATGCGCTTTCTTTACTGGGCTTCAGGACTCCCCCAGTCTCCTGATGTTTCCCCCCCTACTCTTTGGCTTTCTCTTTTTCTGGTTATTTCTCTTATGCCCACTTTTAAAATTTGACTTACTCAGAATTTAGCTCTTGGACCTTTTCTTTTCCACCTGTACTCAGTCACTGAGAGAGCAAATCCAAATAGAGAACAGTTTTAAATACCACCTCTACACTGGTAACAGATTTCCATGTAAAGCACTGACTTCTTCCTTTATGAAAGTCTTGAATATTTAATTGCTTAGTGGGCATTTCCACTTGTATATGTCAGACAGGCAGCCCAAACTTAACGTGTCCGAAATGGGATTCCTGATATTCTGCCTAAAACCTGCTCTTCTCTCAGGCTTGCTCATCTCAATTAATGGCAGCTCAATTATTTTGACTCAGGTCAGAAACTTGAAATCATCTTTGATTCCTTCCCTTCTCTTACACTCCACATTTGTTATTTCAGTAAATCCTCTAGGTTCCACCTTCAAAATATATCTTGATTTTGACAACATCTCACTACCTCCTCTGCTGCTACCGTCTTCCTCAGTCACCATCATCACTGATGTGGATAATTGCATTCACTTCCTAACTGCCTCTCAATGCTTGTCACAGCCTCCATTTGGTCTTTTTTTCCAGCCAGGCTACTAGAGTTAGTCTGTTAAAATATAAGGTAAGGTCAGATCTCTCCTTTCCTTAAAAGTAGTGGCTTTCCATTTCACTCTAAATAAATAAAGACAAGGTTCTTATTGTGACCCTCTGGTTCACTATTCTACTGTTTTATTTTGTTATCTCTCTACTAGAATGTAGGTTTAAGGAAGGCAGGGATTTTTAATTGTTTCACTGCTAGAACTCTGTCACATAGTATGTGCTCAGTAAATAGTGTTAGTTGAATGAGTGTCTTGCACTTACTATGATTTCATAATAACTTTATTGTCATTGTAAAGAACTGAACTCATGGTTTTTCCCTTCTAAATATATTTGATTTCGTAATAACTTTATTGTCATTGTTGTAAAGAACTGAACTCATGGTTTTTCCCTTCTAAATATATTTCTTCCTCTGTGGGCTGTATTTTTCTTGATAGTTTCATATCTTTCTGCTCCCTAGGCTAGGAATTTGGACATCATAGTTGTTATTTCTTTTGTACTCTCGTATTCATTTCAATGATGATTTTTATTATTATTATTTTTTTTGCTGATCCTTTTCTATAACAGCTCTCCAGTCTGACTCCTGTTTACTATTTCTGTTGTTACTACCACAGTTCAGGTCCTTGTTCTTGTTTAGAGAATTGCAACAACCTCCTTACTGGCCTTTCTGCCTTGTTTCTCTTTCAGTCCTTTTAACTCAATACAACAAAGCTAATTTTCCTAATCTAATCATATGACTCTTCTAAATCTTTTAATTGTCCACAGAATAAAGCCCGAATGCTTTAACTTGCAATGCAGAACCGCTTATAATCTGACATTTTCTCCAACTTTATCTCCTATGTATTTACTTATGTGTCCTGTACAGCAATACATTCCAAAATCCCCAGTGGATGTCTGAAAACCACATATAGTACCAAACTCTATGTATGCTATGTTTTTTCATACCTACCCGTAATAAAATTTAATTTATAAATTAGGCACAATAAGAGATAAGCAGGCTGGACATGCTGGCTCATGCCTGTAATCCCAACACTTTGGGAGGCTGAGCTGGGTGGATTGCTTGAGCCCAGGAGTTTAAGACTAGCCTGAGCAACATGGCAAAACCCCGTCTCTACAAAAAATGCGGAAATTAGTCAGGTGTGGTGGTGTGCACCTATAGTCCCAGCTACTCGGGAGGTAGAGGCAGGAGGATTGCTTGAGCCCCAGAGGTTGAGGCTACAGTGAGCTGTGATGATGCCACTGCACTCCAGCCTGGGTGATGGACTGAGACCCTGTCTAAAAAAAAAAAAAAAAGATAGAGATAACAACTAATAAAATAGAACAATTACAACAATATACTGTAATAAAAGTTATGTGAATGTGGTCTGTTTCTCTCAAAATACCTTATTGTAATGTACTACTCTCTTGTGCTGAAGAAAGGACAGAGTGGGATAGTGTGAGATTTCATCACACTACTTTAAATGGCACGTAGTTTAAAACTTATAAATTGTTTATTTCTGGAATTTTTCATTTAATATTTTCTGACTGAGATTAACTATTAGTAACTGAAACCTTGGAAAATGAAACCACAGATGGGTAAAGGGGAGCTACTGTATTCTAACCAAGTGCTGTCCAATAAAAATATAATGCGAGCCTTAAATGTAAGCCATGTTTGTATGTAATTTATAATTTTCTAGGACTAATTTTTTAATGAAGAAAAAGGTAAAATTTAATTATTTTATTTACCCTAACACATCTAAAATATTGCCATTTCAGTATATAATAAAAAAAATTAACAATATTTTATAGTGGTTTTTTTTTCATACTAAATTTTCAAAATTCGGTGTGTATTTATACTTATACCACATCTCAGTTTGGACTAGCCACGTATCAAGTGCTCAATAGCCATATTTAGCTAGCATCTACTCTTTTGGACAGCACAGTTCAAGAAAAGAGAACTGTATACCACTTCCTTATGTTCGCTGTATTTTCTGCCATTCAGTTCTATGTATTCTCTATGTAATTGCCTTTTCCAATATCTTCAAGTTTCTATGATCTACCATCCGTCTGGGTCTATCTTAGATGCTACCTTTTCGAAATATGAACCCTTCTCTGGTCTCAGCTGAAGTGAATTCTTCTGCTATAGAAAAATAATGCTAATACTTAGTGAAACTTAATGTGTACCAGCTACTGTTCTAAGTTATATATACCCTATGAAGCAGTATTGTTCCCATCTTACAGATGAGGAAAGGAGACACAGAGATGGAAATAACTTGTTCAGTGCACCTAAGGAGTGGAGCCAGTGTAAACTCAAGCAGTTAGGTTCTGGTTAGCACACCCTTAACCATTGCTGAGTATTATAATATCTCTTTGATCTACGTATTTCCCCATCCCTGCCAAACACACACTTATTTTTTCTTTTTATCATTTTTATTATTATTCCTCTTCTATATCTTACCCTGTGATATGGTTTAGCTCTGTCCCCATCCAAATCTCATCTTGAATTGTAGCTCCCATAATCCCCATGTGTCGTGGGAGAGGGACCTGGTGGGAGGTAATTGAATCTTGGGGTGGGTTTTTCCCATGCTGTTCTTTTGATAGTGAAGAAGTCTCATGAGATCTGATGGTTTTATAAAGGGCAGTTCTCCTGCACAGGCTCTCTTGCTTCCTGCCATGTAAGACGTGCCTTTGACCCTCTTTCACCTTCTGCCATGATTGTGAGGCTTCTTCAGCCATGTGGAGCTGTGAGTTCATTAAACTTCTTTTCCTTTATAAATCACCCAGTCTTGGGAATGTCTCTATTAGCAGCATGAGAACAGATAAGTACACTCTATAGTACCTTAAACATATTGGAGTGTGATCCGTGTCCAGTCTATCTTCATACGCAAACAGTGTGGTATTGTACATGGGAGTACTGAGTATATTTTGCCATGGGTGGCGACTGTCTGGGGCTGGTGTTGCGTGGTGGTAAAAATAATTTACCAAGACATTTGAGGTAAAGAAAGGCAGATTTATTAGAGAAAGTATGAAAATACATTGCAAGAAAGCTATTGACAAGTCAGCAGAAGAGGAGCTGACCGCAAGTAGCAAAGGCTTGCTGGGGATCTTAAAGGATGGTGCTTGTGCTGTGTGCTGAAGAGAGCTTTGTGCAGTACTGATAACACCTAGGTTGCAGTGAGCTATCAGGGGAGGGTCTGGTGATAGCTGGGCACAGGAAGATTGTGAGTTATTTGTGCAGGAGGACTATGTGTCCTGGACCATGAAGAAAGGCAGACTTACAGCTTACCTGCTTTTTATTTTTGCTTTACCCTGTTGCCGCACACAATTTTTTTTTTTTTTTTTTTAGTTATACTTTAAGTTCTGGGATACACGTGCAGAATGTGCAGGTTTGTTACATAGGTATACACATGCCATGGTGGTTTGCTGCACCCATCAACCCGTCATCTACATTAGGTATTTCTCCTAATGCTATCCCTCCCCTAGCCCCCCACCCACTGACAGGCACTGGTGTGTCATGTTCCCCTCCCTGTGTCCATTTGTTCTCATTGTTCAGCTCTCACTTATAAGTGAGAACATGTGGTGTTTGGTTTTCTGTTCTTGTGTTAGTTTGCTGAGAATGATGGTTTCCAGCTTCATCCATTTCGCTGCAAAGGACATGAACTCATCCTTTTTTATGGCTGCATAGTATTCCATGGTGTATATGTGCCATATTTTCTTTACCCAGTCTATCATTGGGCATTTGGGTTGGTTCCAAGTCTTTGCTATTGTCAATAGTGAGGACTGCACACATTTTTTTTTTTTTTTAAAGGTTGCTCTTGAGGAGAAGGGTTTATATACTTGTAATTATTGAGATTTGCTCCTGGAGTGATCATGTCTTGTTTGTTTCACCTAATCTGGTTTATACCTGTGGTTTGGCATAATGATTAATAGGTATCTTTTCACTGTCATAAGTGTCCAAGTTTGGATGATAAATTTCCATCCTATTCATAACATTTTTTTCTTTTCTTCTATATTAATCATCCCATTTTCATCTGCATTTCTCTAGAAACTGATATATTTTTGTCATGAAAGATGAAAATTTTAAACCTGCATTTTAGATCAGATTAAAACTTAATTAAAATGCTGTATTAAAAACTAATATACGCATTATATATTTAAATTGGAGAGGATCAACTTCTTACTAAGTGATTTCTATACTGAAGTTTAAGTTCAGTATGCTTCAATACATGCTATGCATTGACTCAGTTCTCTTGCTACTTTTTCTGTTGAGCCTTTTATGCAGACTTTATGTCATAACTCATTCGTAATCAGAAGCGAGAACACTGAAGTATTATGACTATATTTAGTTAAATTTGATCATACAGATGTAATGCTTATATGTGTTTATTTCTACAGAAATTCAAATAAGAAACATTGAAAAAAAAGAAAAAAGAATTTGCAGGGCTTAGGACTTCACTTTGAAAAATACTGATTCAGGCTAGGTGGGCTCATGCCTGTAATCCCCGCACTTTGGGAGGCCGAGGTGGGCACATCACCTGAGGTCAGGAGTTTGAGACCATCCTGGCCAACATGGCAAAACCCTGTCTCTCCTAAAAATACAAAAAGTAGTCAGGCGTCGTGGCGGGCACCTGTAATCCAGCTACTTGGGAGGCAGAGGCAGGAGAATCACTTGCCCCAGGAGGTGGAGGTTGTAGTTAGCCGAGATCACGCCATTGTACTCCAGCCTGGTCTATAAGAGCAAAACTCTGTCTCAGGGAAAAAAAAAAAAAAAAAGGAAAGAAAGAAAACTACTGATTTAGTAAATGACTTGATTTCCAAAAAGGTCATTAGCAATAAGTTAGTTTTGTTTCTGATTAGCCTGGTCAACATGGCAGAACCCCAACTCTACTAAAAATACAAAAATTAGCCAAGTGTGGTGGCGGCCACCTGTAATCCCAGCTACTTTGGAGGCAGAGGCAGGAGAATTGCTTGAACCCGGGAAATGGAGGTTGCAATGAGCCGACATCATGCCATTGTACAACGAGTGAAACTTGATCTCAAAGAAAAAAGAAAGAAAGGAAGGAAGAAAAATACAGATTTGGTAAATGATTTGATTTCCAAAAAGGTCATTAGTTAGTTTTGTTTCTACTTGTTATCATACCTTTCACTTATCTAGAACTTGTTATACATAGAAAATACAGAATGTTCCCACATTTATATACAGGTTTTTCCTAGGTTGTAAAGGGTGTAGATAGGGCACAGACATAAAGAAGTCACAGCAAAGAAGAATTTAAAAAAAAAAAAACAGATGTGAGTTTTGTTTGTTTTGTCTATGAGACTTTTTAAAGTCTTATAAAGACTTTTTAAAGACTTACAAAAGTCTTTGGTAATATTTTAACCTATGGAAATTTGTATGGTTTGTCTTTTCAGAGGCTAAGTGTATTGTACACAAAGATTCTTGATGTTCTTGCGGAAATCCCTAAAAATGCAGCATATAGAAAGTATACAGAACAGATTACAAATGAGAGGCTGGCTATGGTTAAAGCGGTAAGTAGCTAAATCAGTTTTGTTTTCTTGGATTTGTGGTATCATTTAACCGAAAAGTTTAGTTCCTTATTTTTTATATATCCTACACATTTTTCTTCTATTCTCCTTCCTTCAGTGCTCTTTTCCCATTCCTCCCTTTTATTCGGCAAACTCTTGTTTATTGAGTGTTTTCTATATGCAGGGCTCTGTTATATACTGGAGTTTGAGAGTAGGATCAGATCCTTCCTTGAAGTAACATTGTAGCTGTTCCTTTTACCTCTCTTCCCTATTTAGTCCTTTATTGATCTTTTGCTTTTTGTCTATGGATATATCAGTCTTGATCTCCTTTTTCTAATCTTAGAGAACAATAAAAGAAAAACAAAAAAAGGGCATTTTTTTTTCCAAAGAAACCTATCAAAAAGACTAGACTGCTATTAGCAGTTAAAGTATACAAGAGGATGTGAACAGGTTATATGCAAATACTATGCCATTTTATATAAGGGACTTGAGCATCCTTGTATTTTGGCATCTATAGGAATCCTGGAACCAATCTTTCATGGATACTTATTAACTGCTATTAAATAGCAGTTAATAAAAGTCTAGACTGCTGATTCATACCAAACTGTATTGCACTATTGTTAAATTTTCACACTAGCAATCATTAAATGGACTCTATGTAATTATCTACAATAGTGCTTAAAAACTCTGAAGGAAATTTATATACATGCATAAGTGATCCTAGGCACACATATTTCTTCTTATTAGATTACCAGACTATATAGTTCAAAGAGAATTCCTATCTTTTGTTAGGTATGCAACAAAACATGTGGTTTGTTTTATATTGTTTTTTGTATTGTATTATATGATGGGTCTCACTCTGTTACCAAGTCTAGAGTGCAGTGGCACGATCACAGCTCACTATAGCCTTGACCTGCCAGTCTCAAGCAATCCTCCTACCTCAGCCTCCCAAGTAGCTGGGACCACAGGCACTCACTGTCATGCCCAGCTAATTTTTAAAATTTTTTGTAGAGGTGGAGTTTCACTGTGTTGCCCTAGCTGATGTCAAACTCTTTGGAAGGTCAAGTGACCTTCCTGCCTTGACCTTCCAAAGTGCTGGGATCATAGGTATGAGCCACCTGCACCCGGTGCCTCTCCCATTTTATCATCATCTTTCAAATAGCCTCAAATATTTTTAGTTTGTTCCTATCTTAAAATAAAAAAAACCTATATGCTTATATTTTTCTTTACTTATTGCCCTATTTTTCTGTTTTCTTCCATAGCCAGTTTCAACCAAAGAAGGGTTTACTCTCATACTTCTTTACTTACTGGTTCTAAAATCCTTTTCTCTGCTATTTAAACCGCTTTATAACTAATTGATCTGTTTGTACTTCCATTATACTTCATTACATGCTCTACCATATAGCCAATAATAGAGTGATTTTTTTTTTCAATATGTAAATCTTGTGATGGTACAGTTGTCCCTTGGTATCCATGAAAGATTGGTTCCAGGATTGCCATGGATGCCAAAATACAAGGATGCTCAAGTCCCTTATATAAAATGGCATAGTATTTGCATATAACCTGTTCACATCCTCTTGTATACTTTACATCATCTCTAGTTTACTTATAATACCTACTACAATGTAATGCTATGTAAATAGTTATACTGTATTTTAAAAATTGCTGTATTGTTATTTTTATTGTGTGTTTTTTTTTAATGTTTTCCATCTGTGGTTGGTTGAATCCATTCTCAGTTGAATCCACAGATATGGATCCTGAGGGCCAACTGTACTGTCTTGCTTAACATCTTACTGTGGTTTTCTGTTCAGTGTTTCTCAAAGGCTGAGTGTAAGGATATATGTTGAACTGGTTGTATGAAACTTACTTAGCTACCTTTATCTGCATGATTTTGATGTATGGCTATGTTTGGGAACCATTGGCCTAACAGGGTAAAGTCCTTAACATGGTATAGAAGACCTTCTAAGTTCTGGCTCTTGGTTATTTTCTCAATCATATGCTGTTGCTTCTTGTTTTATACTCTATTCTTAAGCAATACCAAACTGCTGGCAGTTCTGTGGATTCCTTGCATTTTTATTTTTGTGTTCATTTATATTTTCTCATTTCCTGGAATGCCTTTACCTTGTCTGATAGTTCTTACTTTTTCTTTATAAATCATCACTTCTTCTGTGAAACCTTTTCTTACTTTCTTTTTTTTTTTTTTTTTTTTTGAGACGGAGTCTTGCTCTGTCACCCAGGCTGGAGTGCAGTGGCTGGATCTCAGCTCACTGCAAGCTCCTCCTCTCGGGTTCACGCCATTCTCCTGCCTCAGCCTCCCGAGTAGCTGGGACTACAGGCATCCGCCACTTTGCCCGGCTAGTTTTTTGTATTTTTTAGTAGAGACGGGGTTTCACCGTGTTAGCCAGGATGGTCTCGATCTCCTGACCTCATGATCCGCCCGTCTCGGCCTCCCAAAGTGCTGGGATTACAGGCTTGAGCCACCGCGCCCGGCCTTCTTACTTTCTTAAGTAGAGTTTGACAACTTCGTTACCTCCTTTCCGTTTTACTGGTCATAACTGTATTATGTCTCCACCAGCCATAAGCTACTTGTTAATGATATTGGATTCAACTTTGTATCCTTAGACTCTAGCATAGTACCTGAAACACAAGGTTCCTTAGAAATGTTTCTTTATCCAAAAGGCTAGATATAACCCCAAACACTTAACAGTTGTATCTCTGATTCCTGTTTTTGGTAAAATTGTCACAGATTTTTAATCCTGCATAGAGCCACACACAAAATCTTCAGTGAATATTGCCATGATTATACAATATCTATTTACTAAGCCTAAAGTAGAAATAAAAGTAACTTTTTTCTTTTTTCAGATTATTACTAGGGAGATAGTAATATTTTGGTGAAAAGCATTGGTTTGTGTCCCTGTCCAAGATTTTCATCTTAGTTCTAATACTTATTTGTGGAGTGACTTGGCATATTGCTAATGTTCTGTCTCAATTTCATCATTTATAACTTGGGTATAATAATACCCACCTTGAACACTTTTTGTTAGAACTGAATGAGGTAATGTATGTAAAAGCTTAACATAGTCCCAAGTATATAGTGAGCATTCAGTACATGGTACCTTATCAAGTTTAATGGTATTATGCCATTGGTGACTAAAAATCACATTATTCACTATCAGTAAGACAAATTTTGAATTGTTCACCTAACACTGGCTTTTTCTGAACTGAAAGTGTTGTTGAACATTCCTTGCCTTCTTTACCTTCACTCTCCCGAGTCTCTTAAAACAGTGACCAGCTTCCCTGTTTTGTTTTTGATTTTTGGTCTCATATATGAGTTAATTCCCTGTAAATAATCTGTCTCTAACATGCTCATTACTTTTTCCCCTTTTTCCCCCCTTTTCCACTGTTTTTTTTGTGTTCACTTCTTTCACCAAGAAACATTTATTGAATGACTGCTACATGCCATGTGTGGTTCTAGCATGGAAACTTGTGCTTAGTTGGCACAAAACAGATTTAAAATCCTTGCCTTCTTGGAGATTACGTGTTAGTGATGGGAGACCAAAAGAAAAAAAAAGTAAAAAGTGAGTAAAGAAGTACATAGTGTGTTAGAAAATAGTAAGTGCAGTGAAGGAAAATAAAACAAGGAAAATGTGTACCATTGTGGGGATGGGGGATGTTACACTGTGTATTACTTTACTATGGCTGCTGTAATATTCCCACAAACTTTGTGGCTTAAAACAATATAAGTTTATTTTATTAGATTTCTGGAGGCAAGAAGTTGGAAATCAACATCAGGGACCCAAATCAAGGTGGTGGTCTCAGGGCTGTGCTTGCTTTGGAGAATATGGGGTAGAATCTGTTCTTGCCTCTTTCAGCTTCTGGTGGCTTTTGGCATTCATTGGCTTGTGGTCTCATCACTGCAGTTTCTGCCTTTGTGGTTACATTACTTTTTCCTTTTCTGTGTGTAATATCCCTCCCTCTCTCTTATAAGGACACTTATAATTGCAGTTAGGGACTATATGGATAATTCAGGAAAATCTCCCTATGTCAGCATCCTTAACTTGATCATATATGTGAAGTCTTTGCTGTATAAAGTAACAGTCACAGTTTCTAGAAGTTAATACATGTATATCTTTTGTGGTGTTATTCAGCCTGTCACAATGTAAATTATCAGTAGTTATCAATAAGAAGATGTTATTTGAGCAAAGATTTGAAAGGTGGTGAAGGAACAAGTGATGCAGATACCCTGGGCCATCCAGCAGATACTCTGAGGCAGTAACACATCAAGTCTTGTGTTGAAAAACAAAATGTCTTATTTTGTCCCTCTTTATTCCATTTATTGGCCAGAAAAACACCCTGAAATGACAAAGCCTTATTTACGTATGTGGGTATATTTACAGATTTCTGACTCAAAAAGCTCAGTTTACTAGAAAATAACTAAATGTCGTTGAATGTTCTAGGTACTATATTAACATTTTGTTTTTAAAAACTTTTATTCAAGAATTATATACATTACAAATGTGTAGAAAAAAAGGACTTTTCCAGAACAACCAAACCCTTGCCTCTTCCCCTTCAGTTTACTACTTGTAAAGCTAATCTCTATTTGGACTTCTTTTTGCCCATTTTTGAATTTTATATAAGTGAAATCATTAGTATGTACTGTCTTGTACGTACTATACTCTGGCTTTTGCTTAATACTGTGGTTAAGAGAATCATCTATATTATTGCATACAGTTTATTCATTTTCATTGCTGTGAAGTATTATATCCAAATATTATAATTAATTGATCCATTCTATTACAGATGGTCATTTGGGTTATTTCTAGTTTGGGGCTGTAATTTGTGCTGCTGTGAATATTCTCAAACATGTTTTTTAAAAAATATATTATGCGGCCAGGCAGGGTGGCTCACGCCTGTAATCCCAGCACTTTGGGAGGCCGAGGTGGGTGGATCACGAGGTCAGGAGATCAAGACCATCCTGGCTAACACAGTGAAACCCCATCTCTACTAAAAATGGAAAAAAATTAGCTGAGCGTGGTGGCGGGCGCCTGTAGTCCCAGCTACTTGGGAGGCTGAGGCAGGAGAATGGCTTGAATCTGGGAGGCGGAGCTTGCAGTGAGCCGAGATTGTGCCACTGCACTCCAGCCTGGACAGAGCGAGACTCATCTCAAAAAAAAAAAAAAAAAAAAAATAAAAATAAAATAAAAAAATAAAAATAAAACATACACACACACACACATACACACATATGTGTATATGTATATGTGTGTATATATATATGCATATACAGACACATATGTGTGTGTATATATATATTACGCATTTCTGTTTGGCGTTATGCCTAGGAGTGTAATTTCTGGGTCATAGGGTAGCATTTATTTTTAATTCTAATGCTCTCAGAGGAAATACAGGAAATACTAAGAAAGCAAAGTCATATTTTAAAATCTGTTTTAGAAAGACAGAATTTGACATTGTATTTCTGTCCCTTGATCAGCTTGTCAATAAACATTTAGCACTTTTCAATATTAAGACAGAAAAGCAATAAAATAGCAGAGGTGAAATGAATTTTCACCAAATATTTAGTAAAAAGAGTATGATGCATGAAAAGTTGTATTTTTAAGTGTTTTTATATAGGAATTTAAAAATACGGGATATTGAAACTTTCAGAGAGTATGCTTCTTTAATTTTTCTTTTTCTCCCTGAAATTATAGGAACCAGATGTTAAAAAATTAGAAGACCAACTTCAAGGTGGTCAATTAGAAGAGGTGATTCTTCAGGTAAAGAAAAAGTTGACTATTTAGGTGTTTGGTTTCATAGACACACACAACTGACATTCCAGAATGAAAGGAAAACTAAATTTCCTTATTTATATCAACTCATCAAATATGTAAGACTAATCACATATAGAAAATGTGGTGCTTCTCATGTATATGTTGATTATAGTATTTATTGTTGATTATAGCATGAATTTGTGAGACTCCTGTTAGAAGCCTGGAGTTTGACACTCTTTTAATTTAATCAGCATGTTCTCCTTGGCCTAACCTTAGTTTAAATTGGTAACGCAATATTACTGTTGTTTTAATAGTTGTATCTTATTTTAAGAGTGTGGCATATTTTTAGTAGGGAAAAATACAGACATTTTGAATTATAAAATTAAAATATACTTTTGTTTTTATTTTTGGTTCTTGAGCATTTGAGCAAGTTAAAAAACAATTGCATAGTATATTTGAGAGCTTAATTCTGCATCACTTCCCAAATACTAACCCTGACATATAATATTGAGTAGTAAAATGTAAGCATGATTAGGAAGAGATTGAGATTAGAAAAGTTATTAACATTATTAATTACATTTAGACTATTTTAAATCTTATTCTATTGGGAAATTTTCTTCTCCTCTCACTATACCTGCTACTTAGACAAGAGAACAAACACTACAGTTTAGTTTTGTTTAATCTGAATTTTAATTCTTTTCCTTTGGTCATAGGTAGGTTATAGAAATAGATAGGTTACTGATGTAAATAGGCTGGAAATATACTATTTTGAATATTCCATAGTTAGTTTTTTAAAGCATCTATGGGAAAAGAATGATGCCTCTTTTTTTTTTTTTTTTAAGTTTTGCGTCTTTTTTCTCCAATTGCTAGTAAGGTTAAGCTTTAAAAATATGTTCTTATATTTTATAAATTATATCATTAATATTTTTACTCTGTCATTTAGTCTTTGTGTCATTTATCCATATGAGTGTCTTTTTATAATAAAAGATATTAACCTTAAACTTTTGTGACATTGTCTGCACGTACTTTTTTTAGCCTGCTTATGCCTCTCAAATGGGTTTTTTTCCCTCACATGTATAGGTTTTCAATTTTTTTGTTCGTTTGTTTGAGACGGAGTTTTGCTCTTGTTGCCCAGTCTGAAGTGCAGTGGCACGATCTTGGCTCACCGCAACCTCCGCCTCCTGAGTTTAAGCAATTCTCCTGCCTCAGCCTCCTGAGTGGCTGGGATTACAGGCATGTGCCACCATGCCCAGCTAATTTTGTATTTTCAGTAGAGACGGGGTTTCTCCATGTTGGTCAGGCTGGTCTCGAACTCCCGACCTCAGGTGATCTGCCTGCCTTGGCCTCCCAAAGTGCTGGGATTATAGACGTGGCCACCTTTCCCAGCTCAGATTTTTTTTTATTTGGTGAAATTTTGTTGTTCCACACCCCTGCAACCCCCATATTATAGGTTTAGAATGTCTTTGTCTTATAAGCATCTGATAAATACTCAATTCTGTTTTATTTAATTGTTATTTTCTTGTATCTTTTTTCAAATGTAACCCTTTCTAATGTTTTCTTACTGTTGATTGAAGGACAGATAAAAGGAAATATTGGGTACTATTGGAGATTAGGGAGGTATATCACCAACAGACATGATATACCAAATCAAAAGAATTGTTAGATGGCCCTGGAAAAAGAGGAGTATAGCATTTAGACAGCTTTCTGTGAATGTAGACTTTCAGTTATTCAAAGGCCTATTTTCCTGGCCTTTATATTCATTTGTCAGGTAGGCTATGGTACTAGATACAGTGTTATAGGAACTTGCCGCAAACCTTATACTGTTGTCCTATACCTATTTCTCTTTTCTGTACCACCTGATTTCACTTTGATCATGACTTTATCTAGTTGAGATATTAATTTTTCATGGAATTGAGTTTAAGGCATATTAAGTATTTTTAAGTCAGCGGTGCAGTTCCCCATGTTTTCATGGTCAGTATTAAGGGTAAATTAGTTTTAGTAATTTTTTTTTTAACTCAGTATATGTAGTATATTATTTAAACATATCATAAAAATATTGAGATATTTTACATTCTTTTTTATATGAAGTCATCAAACTCTGGTATGCATTTTACTCTTTGCAGCACATCTGAATTTGGCCTAGCTGCATTTCAAATCCCCAATAGCTATGTATGGGTAGTGGCTAACATATTAGACAGTCTCATTTCTAGATGGGTGGTATGACAGTGTGTCAGAAGCCAGAGAAGAAGGAGGAAATAGGCATCAGGGGCCAGGTGCAGCTGGATTCAGGTTCCTGAGATAGGGCTGATTCTCAAGGATGAATGAGGGCTGGGTGCCCTCCTCATGCCCTATATATAATGCCTGGGGGAGATTGAGAAAGCACTGGATGTTCAAGAGACCCAGGGAAACCTTAGGAAATATTTCATCAGTATTTAAATTATTTTCTCCTTTTGGCATTAGTAATACCTCTACCCCTGATTTCCATTCATCTGCTCTTTAACTCATTGTTTTTTACAGTTGCTTGTAAACATAGATTGACTTTTGGGACCGCTGGCACAAATGGGGTATTATCTTTTAACTGTATAATAATAATTACCTTTAATATAATCCAAGCACTTATTCTGTGTTTGAATTTCTTTTGTAACATCCTGACAGGTGTTTAATAATATTCATCTTACAGGTTGGCTGGAGTTGTCATAAATATTTTTTTGTTGTAGAAAAAATATGAAATTAAAAGCTACCTAAAATGCATTTGTTAAATATAAGTTGTGTTTGAAAGGAAAAATTAAATGAAACATAACTTAATTAAGGAATTTATTCAGTTAGTAAATATTTTTTATACACTTATTGTGTTCTACATTCCACAGATCACTGTTTTATAAATTCTGGATCTCAAGTGACTATGGGTGATGGAATCAGTTAGATAGTGATTAGCATTAAAAAAACACAATAGAAAAAAGAACGTATCACTGCTAGTAAAGATAATGATTAAAAAATTTTAGTTATATGTTTATATTGTGGAACCTACAATAAAACATATTTTCTTACTGTGGGCCATGGTAAAATAAAGTTTGAAAGTCACTGACATAGATGTAAAGACATACTTCTGATTCTCAAAAAACTTGTGAAATATTATTAAGATAAAAAATCTCACCAACTAAACTTTTAAACATTGTAGCCAATTTCAATCAAATAGAAGACATCAAAAGATATTCTTTCTTCTGATTGTGTAGCTGTGAGAATTAAGGTAATTTAATTACTTAATATTCAACATTTGATGGTAGAATAGATTATGAGATATTAAATGAAAGTAGTATCCAGTAGTTAAATATCAGTTGTTAGTTCTCATAAATATCTGTTGAATAGTAAAATCCAATGATCTTTTAAAAAATTTGTATTCACAGGCTGAACATGAACTAATTCTGGCAAGAAAAATGAGGGACTGGAAACCATGGGAGCCATTAGTGGAAGAGCCTCCTGCCGATCAGTGGAAATGGCCAATATAATTATTAAGTGACTTTGATGTGTTGATGGGAAACTGATGTAATTAAATATACTGTTATATTAAGAGTGTTTTCATCTTACTGACATTTTATAATCAAGAAAAGTGATATAGAAAATATCTAGGAGACTGTTAAAATTGGTGATTATGGTAATACGGTCATGTGAATCCATTTTTGATTTATAAAGTATTCACACAAATTATTTCAAAGATGATATTTCTATGAACAGAGAGGTCATGGGAAGATTTGAAAATTATTAAAGAAAAATTCCTACAGATCTTCAATGCAGAGACTATAATTAAAAAGTAAAGTTTCTTCAGTAGTCTGTTCAATACGTCATTTAATTTTTTTAAGTTATCCTGAAGAAGAAAAGGTCCTTAATATAGTCTAAACAAATTTATAGATCATTGTTTGAAGTAAATAATACGAGTGAGTATTTTCAAATGTGATAAAATGGCACAAGTGACTGGTGATAAAATTTGAAATTATGGTTAACCTCCTTAGCTGTGATCTTATGTATGTAAAATAAAACTTAAATATATAATTATAATGTTGGATTACAAAATCCATAATGTCATTTTATTTTAGTCATTATTTTTTGAATTATATCATTTACTCTGTTTTCTTATAGTCTTTATTATATTTTGTTGTTACTATGTTATATTTGAAAACCATCAAATTCAAATACATTGTACAGTTGAAGAAATTGACTTAGTACTTAAAAGAAAGATTTCCCATTTCATAGAGGTTATTGGAGAAACTTTTCCTTTTGTTGCATTTGTGGAAGTTAGTTTTCTGGCCCATGGCCTTTAATTTTCTTAATCAACCTAATTACATCAGGATAGAGGTAGAGTTTCTGTAAAAGAAGAGACATTAAGAGTTCCTGAAATTTGTATCTGGCATACGGATAGGCTTATATTCAAAACATCTTAGTCATGTGACTAAATTCAAAGTGGAATCACTAAATAGTTTGCAGTACGTTTCTAACATAACTGTAGGTGGGTATCAAAACAAGACAAATGCTGTTCAGGGAAAGAAGTTGGCAAGCTTAAGGTTAAAAATAAAATTACATGTGTTTTCGCCTTTTCTTCCTAGCTCCCTGTCATTTCTAAATACTTGGTTAAATTTAACTTGGTATCTCTTTCCTTCATAGATAATATTATACTCTTGTGGGGTTTTGTGTATACGTGTGTGTGTGCGCGCACACACGTGCACATTTGCTCAGAATGAGAAAAAAATGGTATTTTTCCTTCTTTCCAGTATATTTCTCCCCTCATAGAGCTGTAACATGAATACTAAATAAATATTAAATAAGATGGATTCTTAGAGGTTAGAGTGCAAGAAGTCTCCTTCTCGTGGGGAAGTGTTAGAGGGGGAGTTAGAAGGTTTCTCATTCTCATGATTCTAGTATTGTTAATGAGTACATTGAGGCAAGTTTGGCCTGTTCTTAGAATGGCCTATTTCTAATGCTGTAAAAGAAGTAGAATATGATTTATAACAACATTTTCAGTTCTAAACATTTCTTGAATATATAATATATTTATTAAAACATGATCCTAAAAATGTGTTTGCCTGGGTACTTTCAAGGTAATTTTCTAGCCAACCATTTTTTTTTTCAGGTCCTTTGGAACAAAGATGGCTTGTTGTGTTTTTGTCATACTTTCAGTCCTATTTCTGCCATGATTCTTGGGCATCTTTTATGTCACCAACAGTGTTACTGAACTTTTTTGCTAAAAGGGGACCTTCCTGGTGTTTGCATTAGAAATGCTAATTGTAGAATAATAGTCATTGTAAAAATAATATTATAACAATAATAGCTAATGTTTATTGAGACTTTAATATGAATGTCAGACACTATCATAAGTACCTGACTAATTTCACTCATTAACCTGCACTGCAACCCTAAGAGTGATACTGCAAATTATCTTCATTTTCCAGATAAGAAACCAGAACCCTACATGAGTAGTTTTCCCCTGCGATTATGCAACTTGGGGCCCTGGGGACACTGAAACCAAGAGATGATTAATAACAAATCCAAGGTCACATAGCTAGTAAGATGGGAAGCTAAAGTTTGAACCCAGGCAGTCTGGTTCTAGAACTGATGCTCCTGTTATATTATTATTTATGAATATGCTTGGGATGTTGTGACTCCTTCCTGTGCTGTATGGGCTGTACCAAGCGAACCTAGATCCTGCTGCTTGACTTTTTCTGTCAAAATATCTGTAAAGAACAAATATGAGCAGAAGTAGTAAACTGGATTTCATTTTCTGCAAAGAGCTGCATATTGGTTATAGGCAGATTATGTTAATGGGATAGGTATCTAAAAGGTATTGCAATTTGGTTCTTAATTCTTTCTCCTGTCTCAGTTGCTCACACAACTTTACACCTGATCATTTTTACTCCTTCAGTCTTTTCCCAGTTGCTTCCTATAAACATCCAGGTTAAGTCTCCTGCTCACTTTGCAAATGATTCTTTTATTCAAAGATCTTCAGTGTTTTGAGTGGCCAAACTAATTTGAATAATTTTCAGAATGGCCTATTTCAGTTCTCCTATGGGTTTCATTCTAGTTAATCACCATACTCCAGATACTTCAAAAGAAAGAGAAACTAATCAATCTGAACTTTGCTAAGAAAGAAGAAATGGCAACAAAGTTGATGCCCTCTTTCTCCCACACTGGGACTTAGTGCAGACAATTCCAGTTTCTTGGCATGCTTTCCTTTGGGATGAAAATGGCTTATATTTAGGATAACTATAGGATAATCTTATTCCACCTGGAATGATTTTGAGTGAAAATAACTACATAAGGGTAACAGCTGTATACCATGACTGTCCTGGGCAAACAGTATATAGGGGGCACACTCTACTGGAGTAAGGCTCAGGTCTCAAGGTTGCCATCTTTCCCATACCAGTAGGATCAAGTAGTCTGTCATTGGAATAGAATGAATTGATGCCAGCAGTAGCAGTCATCATGTGCAATCAGGCCTCAGGTTTTATTGTGTTCTTTCACTCTCTCTCATTCTCCCCTCCCCATGCCTTTCCCTCAGACTTAGGGGATGGAAAAAAAGGGAGCTTATATTTTATTGTCAATTTTCCAATCCCAGTCAGAGGAGCGAAGCTAATTACGCCAGTAACAATGTTTATGAATGTATCTTTTTTAAAAGGAAGATAACAATATATAGGAAAATTCCCACATGTAGGCTAATAGCAGCTTTTTCTTTTTCCTCCCATCCTCTTATGATTGTGTAAACAAACAGAAGTTAACACCCTACGCAAGTGTGTTGTGGGGTATAGGATTAAGTACCAAATTGCTGAACATATCACGAGTATTTTGGATTTGCTGAGTGCTGCCTTCCCATTAAAACTAAGTGTTTAGCGGGGAAGCGAGGTGGCTCAAGCCTGTAATCCCAGCACTTTGGGAGGCCGAGGTGGGCGGATCACTTGAGGTCAAAAGTTCGAGACCAGTCTGGCCAATATGGCAAAACCCCATCTCTACTAAAAACAAAAACAAAAAAACAAAAACTAAGTGTTCGGTGAGATTGCAGCCTATGCAACAACAATAGTAATGCCAATTATTTTAGAGAAAAGTAAATGAAAGGCTACCAGTTGGGTTTAGAGGAGGCTGACGTTTTATTTTAGACAAAATTCACAGGAAATCACAGTGGGAATGTGATAAGGGGTTTGAATGATTGATGGGGACAGGAATAATTCATTTGAGAGACTAGAGTTGAGCCAGTATTCTAGATAGTGAAGTAAAATAGTAATGTAGTGATTTAGCATGGGTTATCCTTAAATCCCAGTGTCTTAACATAAGTGTATTTTTTATTCATACTGCATGTCTATGGAGGGTTCGCAAGGAATGCTCATAGACATACAAGGAATCCAGGCTGAGCATGGCACCATCAACCCATATTTCCATGAACATAGTGTTGCTGGGGAATTGCAACATGGTAAATTACACATAGGAACAACAACAACAAAAACAACCAAGGTTAAATTTTTTTTTGACTGCGCCACAAAATGTATGAATTGAACTTGCCATGCATCACTAATAATTTTCAAATTGACCTTTAGGTTTATATTAGCAGCTAATTTTTTGTGGTACACTTAAATGTAATTTATGATTGGCTTCTGTATATAATTAAATGAAAAGCATTACAAATATTTTTATTTTGGTATTTCTCATGATCCTCAAGTTTTTTTTTTAGGTGAATCTATTAGCTTTTCTAAAGATAACTATTACTATTATTTATTTATTTATTTATTTACTTACAAAATATTGGCCTTTTAATCTCTCTATAACTGGAGGGTGAATTCTTTTTCAAAAGAGTAAAACAGATCCACAATCCCTTATCTAAATTCCTAGTTTCAAAAATTTCTGAAAACAAAGTTTTTTCATAACTCAATTTGGCAACAAACTCCACCTGAATTATATGAGGCTATTTGTGGTATTTATCCGACTTTAATGTGAATATGAATATATTTTGCCATAGATATATCAATATATTTGATTATAAACTGCTTCCTCAGACCCTCTGAATGTTTTACATAATGTAAAGTATATGCCCATATTTCCTTTCAAAAATCTGAGAAATTCTGAATATCAAACACATCTGTCCCAAAAGGTTTCAGAAACGGGACTATGGACCTATATTTCCATTCTCTTAAGTTCAGAAAGTGATGTTATGATCCAAATTTAACATACATAATTTCCAAAACAAAAATTTTCAGGTCCTTAGTTTTCTAAATTATTTTAATATTTAAAATATTCATTATTCATTTTAACCTTGAGTAACAACGGGAAATACTTTGAAATGCTTGATTTTATCATACCACTAGGCGGCATCTTTGTAAAGTAAAAGCACATCAAAAGAAATGTTTATCACATAAATAAATGCTGAGATGAATAAAGGTAGATGTGACATGAGAAATACAAAGTCATTTGGTGGAATAAATCCTGAGAACATGCATAGATTTATCATGAAAAGGAAAATGGAAAATGGTATTGTAAAATTACTCTTTCACTTTGGGAATTGAGAAGCTTTTTTCTATTGGTTGTTTTCATTCAGTTTGAATATACATTTATTATGTAACCAAACTACATTTGTGTGTATGTGTGTGTTTGTGTGCATAGACAGGATTTTGACATGCTAATAACCTTTCCATGCTCCACAGACTACCCAAGGAAGCCTAACTATTAAGTTAGGTTCCTATTTAAGATTAAATTGTATAAAGTCATCCTCACAGCAAATTACAAAAAAATATGAATAGTGGATATCAAGTCACATTTAACACTGCGAGACCCTTAAGTTCTCTCCTACCAGCTTTTCTTCCCCCATCTCCTGACTCTATTCCTAAACCTACTGTTTGCATACTGTCTCTAACATTGAGAAGAGTGAATGATAAATTTTGAAGAGGAGACCCAGAAAAGTGAATGTTTAAAGCCAGTGGAATTTTTCTTAGTAGCAGAATGTAAGATGAATTATGATTTTGGAGATGGGAGTGTATGAGTGTTTGTAAAATCTTATCTGCGCACCTCCACACCTGGTCTACCCATCCAAGAAAGCCTAATTCTAGTGGTTACCTCTATGCCCATTTTTCCCCTTTACTTTTCATGAATGTGTGGAAATGATTAAAATGCATTTCCTTTTACTGATCATTATTAAAGCCAATTTTATCTGAGAATATATATTTCACTATTCTAGTAAAAATATATTTTAAAATGAGATGACTAAAAAAATGGCATTGGACATTACAAAGTTATTGGGGAGATGAGAGTGCAATTTCAGCAGAACAGTATAAAGAAATAAATGAAGACAATGAACATTTATGAATAAGGGAATGAACCTGTACTAATTTTATTAATCCTTTTAAAATGTCAAATCAAATTAAACTACCGTAATAGTGATTAAAAATCTGGGACCTGGAGTTAGATTGCTTGGGTTTAATCCTAGTTCCTTCATTAAACTTTGTGTGCCTTAGTTTTCTTATTTACAAAATGGATCTAATAGCAGTTTCTCCCTAATAAAATCGTTGTGAGGATTAAATTAGAAATCTATGTACGATGTCTCATGACAATTAATACTTCATAAATGTTAGCTGCTATTACGAGATAGTAATATATAGTTTGTTACTAAATTTCTAAGAAGAACATACTTGACCTGACCTCCAATACCATCCTGTGCTTCTTTAAAAGTTTTCGTATTTATTGATAGGCCGGGCACCGTGGCTCACATTGTTTGAGGTTAGGAGTTCCAGATCAGCCAGGCCAACATGGTGAAACCCCATCTCTACTAAAAATACCAAAATTAGCCAGGCTTGGTGGCGGGCGCCTGTAATCTCAGCTACTCAGGAGGCTGAGGCAGGAGAATCGCGGGAGCCCGGGAGGCGGAGGTTGCAGTGAGCCGAGATCGAACCACTGCGCTTCTGCCTGGGCGACAGAGCAAGACTCTGTATACACTTAAAAAAAGGGGAAGAAAAAGAATTCATTGATAGACAAAATTTAGTTTATTAACTAATTTAGTGATTAACAAAAGTTCTGCTTCTCTTATAAGGAGAATTATTTGATAGCTACTGTCTCCCATTTCTCTTTGGCTGCCAGGAAGCTGAGAGGCAAGTTGTTAATTTAAGAAAACCAAGTAGGCATCTGACAGTTTCCCGCCTCTGACTTCAAACTGATGATTTCTCTGACTCTGATTTTTTATATCTGTAAGATTAAATTGCTGTTAGTGTTTGGTTCAGAGAGCTGTGCCCTTTCACAAGTGTAAAAGATCTTGGAGAGAGGTTACTGTCCTGATTCACTTTTGGATCTAGGTAACCACTGGTAACAGCCTCCGCCTCTGGCTCCTCCCCTTCTCCCTGCAGTGTCCCTCCTTCCCTCCCCCTCGCCTCTGGCCCCGCCCCTTCTCCCTGCCGTTTCCCTCCTCCCCGCCCCCTCGCCTCTGGCTCCTCCCCCTTTTCCCTGTCGCGTACCTCCTGTGCAGCCCCCCACCCTCTCCTCTGGCTCCTTCTCGTTCTCCTACCGCGAGTCTCCTTTCCGACTCACGGCCCGCAGCCCTCTGGCTCCTCCGGTCTTCCTGCGCGCTCCACTCTCCGATCACCGCCCCTCCGCCTCTAGCTCCTCCCGTTCTCTCCTGGCTGCGCTACTCTCTATCAACGCCTTACCCTCTCCGGCATCTGGTTCCTTCTCCTCTTCCCTTCGCTTGGCGGGCGCTCCTCCTTTCGACCCGCCCGCCTCTTGGCTCCTCCCGCAGTCCTGGCCGCGGTCTTTTTTTCCTCCTTCCCGCTCGCCCGCCTGCCGCTCTGCTCGCTACCCCATCCCGCCTCTTGCTCCTCCCCTTCCCCCCTGTCCGGCCCTGGCAGGAAGAGGTGGTGCCAGGGTCGTTGCTAGGATACGACCAGTAACTGAGAATGCGGCGAGTATTGAAGCTGCTTCTTAGGAGCCTGGGAAAGCACTTCGACGAGAATAGTTGCGTTTCGTACACAGGTAGGAGGACAAGTTTTGACTGCGGCTTCCTGGCCCGACGCTTAGACCCAGCCTAGAGCCAGTAACAGCCGCGCTGAACTCTGAGTTCTGTGTGCGGGGCAGTGATTCCCGGCTGAGCTCCTGGGGCTGCCTGGTCGGTAGGGAATGTTCCGCCTTTACTTAAAAAACCGTGCGAAGTATTCCATTTTTCTGGGCTCCTTTTCTGGCTCCTTCTCTCTGGTTTGGGACTTGAATCAGCAGCATCAAGCTAGGAGGTACACCTCACCTCACACCCCGAGTGCTTTTCACGGTAATTGCATAGAAGAAGTGTGTATAACCCAAACTTGGCACTAGAAACTCAGCCTTCCGTGTCAACCAGTCTCTTATTAAGTCGAGGGATTTTAGACTTTCCTCACCTGGCACTCTCACTCCTTCCTCTCCACCCGTGGTCTTTGCCTCTTAACAAACTTAAAAATTCAACAGACCTATTTGGTAGAAAGCAATACTGGATCCTTGCCTTACTAATTATACTACATTCTAATTGTATTAAGCTTTAAATGATAGGGAATGAAATGTAGGTGAAAAGGGAGACTTTTTTTGTATGCAAACATGATAGAGGTTGCTCTTTTAAACAATAAGATTAAAACATTTACATTCGAATAGATAATACATAAAAAACAGTACGAATAGTAAAAAGAATGAAGAGTGAAAATCCACCATCTACCCATTTCTCCCCATCTCCAGGCCACCTTCCAGAGGTGCTTTAGACGTGTGCAAATAGGTAGGTACACCTGTAACATTGTGCATACTATTCGGTGATTGGCTTTTACACTTAAGACTGTGTGTCCAGTTGTTTTCTATCAGTATTTACAGATCTGTCTCGTGTATTTATGGATGAATTTATGTATTTATGTTTCATTGTGAGAAGGTGTTTCGAAGCATATCAGGAAATTTGGAAACTCTCATAAGCAAAAAGATTGATAAATGTCACTACCTAACAATCTAAAACTTTTGTATAGTAAGAGAAAACAAACAACATCAAACATACAATGGGAAATATAAGTGCAACACACAACAAAGGGATATTTAATTATTAGGACTCATAAAACAATCTGAGGATGTAAGGAAACATTCAAGGGGAACTTCTCGGGGCTGTAAAAGAAAACAGTGATGGAATTTAACAAAATTAAGATCTGTATGCCCTTTGACTTGTCCCTTCTAATTCTAGGAACTCATTTTCAGTATACTTACACATATATACAGAGATAGATGTATAAGATGTTTGTTGCAGCGCAATTTTTAATAGTAAAAAACTAGAGACAGCTTAAATGTGCATCAGTGAGCAACAGTTGACTACAATGTGACTTAGCCTTGCAAACAAATTACTGTGAAGTTGTTGAAAAGAATGTGGCAGAATCATATTTTACGTAAAAATAAATGTTAAGCACATATTATAAGTCGTAAAACAGTGTTAAAAGTTTAAAAATAAACAGAAATATAGTTTATAAAAGACATAGATATGATCATAAACAAATTTAAGTGTATATATATTATATAATTGTAGCTTTATAGACAATTCCTGGAAAGATAAACTGCCTAACAGTGAGAAATAAAATTAGCATGTCTGGAATACTTTTACTTCTTGTTTTATCCCCTTCTGTTCTGTTAGATTTTTTTTTCTAGTAAGCACATATTACTCTCTTAAAAACAGCCAAATGAACAATAACAATAATGAAAAAACAATTTTGAAAAGTCTTTTCTAACTGTAGCTTTCCAAACTGGGTTGAAATTTCACATTTTACATTTCACACCTTAATATGTGTGTTTTGTTATTTACGTTTAATATTTGCTGCAGTGAGAGTTTACACATATTTATGTATGCAAGTAGAGCATATTAATATATACATATGAAGGGGTATTAGGAACCAATAAAATTAGCTCCTTGTTCTAGATGGGTGAAAAAAAATCTGCTGAATATTTTCTACTCTATTTTAAATAATAGTCATGTTTCTTACTTAAGAATAAAAGACATTCTCTGATAATGTATCTGATGACAAAATCGTTAGTTAAATTCTGGATCTGACCACCACTAACCTACCATGAGGCATTCCTGGGCCTTAGCTTTTTCATCTGCAGGGAGATCAATTTCTAGACTTTTTCTTAATCACCAGGACCCCTTTTCTGTTCTCTCCCCAACCCCCCATGGACTCCTATACTGAGATACAGCACAGTTTAGTGGTTAAAGGCATGGGTTCTGGATCCAGACTGCCTGGATTTGGATCCCAGATATACCGCTTACTAGCTCTGTGTTCTTGAAAATATTACTTAACCTCTCTGTGCTAATTTCTTTATCTGTAAAATGGGTGTAATAATATCATCTGTGAGAAATAATTTAGTGTAAGTATTTGCTAATATGCTTTATTTTTAAAGTATTTTTTCTCCTACTTTATAAAATGAGTAATTATGTAATACCTAGGAGACATTATTAAGGTATAATTATCACTAGCCATTTGGAAATTTTAGAAATAGTTCATTAGTAATTAGCCAACATTTATTATGTACTTATTGTGTGCCAGGCACTGTTTACTAAGTACTGTATATACACAATTTTATTTCATTCTTGGAAGAACCTTTGATGTTGAAACTACTAATATCCCATTTCACAAGTGAGGAAAACAAGACTTAGGTTAAGACACATCTGTATCTCAAAGTCATATAGCTAGTAAGTATCAGGAACTCTGAGGGGTCTGGTGTTTTACCCTACATACAAACTAATAAGTTAGTCACTGTTTCTTGGATGCTGAGTCAAAGGGCACATAGCAAAAGAAGTAGCCAGTGCTTCAAGTTTGTGCCAATTTCCCAAGCCCCCCAAGTCCAACAGGGGAAACACAAGTGAGTCTACATGGATGCCTGCACATGGGGAATTTACTGCTTTTATAGTAAACCAAAGAAAGCCTGCTCTTTGTTTCAGGGGGAAGAGTTTATCTCAACCTTTGCAGTTTCTCAGTGTAAACACAACCCTGAGAAATGGTCTGGGTAAACAGTGGTCATGGCCTTGCATTTTTGTCACACCCCACAAGAACATGTAGGGACACTCAAGACCCATGGCCGATTGCTTCTTTCTACAGGAAGCTGTTAAGTCTGGATTCAAACTCAGGTGGGCTGGCTCCACAGTCAGCCCTCCTGAAATTCCACTTTAGGAAATCAAAGCTGAGAATCACTGTACTGCATGGCAATGAAGTCATGACTTAGAAACCTTGACACTTCTTGTTTTTAGGTTGAGTAAATGCTTGTCACTGCTAACCATCATAAACACAGTTGCTAATCACCCTCTTTATCAACAACTAACATCTTGAAAACATGTAATTATTTGGGTCATTTATTCATATCATTAATTAAGGACCTTCTGTGAACCTTAGGCACTACTATACATACAATCTACAGGTAACAGAACTATGATCTCTGTGTGTGTGTGTGTGTGTGTGTGTTTGTGTGTGTTTATTTAGACGGGGTCTTACTCCATGTCTCTGGCTGGAGGGCAGTGGTGACATCTTGGCTCACTATAATCTCCACCTCCCTGGCTGAAGCGATCCTCCCACCTCAGCCTCCCGAATAATTAGAATTACACGTGCATGCCACAATACAATGCCCAGTTAAGCTTTGTATTTTTTGTAGAGACAGGGTCTCACTATGTTGCCCAGGCTGGTATTGAATTTCTAGGCTCAAGGGATCTGACCACCTCGGCCTCCCAAAGTGCTGGGATTACAGGTGTGAGTTACTGTGCCCAGCCCTCATCTTGTTTATAAGGAGATAGATTGCTTCGAGGGGAACAATCTAGGACACCTAATGTACTAAAATTAGGGTGAAATGAATATAAGCATTAGGAACCATAGCAACTAGGAAATGGAGACAGACACATTGAGGAGGAAGGTGGAGGGGTATGAATTTATCCAGTACCTGTCAAAGGAACTTTATAGTATGTGGCTTCTGTTTCTGACTGCATTGATTGCACATGTCTCATGGCTTTAAATACCATAGACTTGTGACTTTCCAATTTCCAGGCCAGCATCTTCTCAGAACTTCAAAGTGCTAACCCCGTGTCCAATGGGCATCTCAAACTCATATGGCCCAAATCAGACTGATCTAACTTACATCCATACTCAGGTCTCCATTATTTGAAGTTTTCCTTATTTCTGTAAATGTGGCTTTATCCTTCTGGTTACTCGGGCTAAAAATGTTAGCGGTATCCTTGATTCCTCTCTTTATCTCATAGCTCACATCTAATTCATCGCTAAATCCTTTCAGCTCTATTTTAACGCCTGTAATCTCAGCACTTTGGGAGGCTGAGACGGGCGGATCACAAGGTCAGGAGATCGAGACCATCCTGGCTAACATGTTGAAACCTCGTCTCTACTAAAAAAAATACAAAAAACTAGCCAGGTGAGGTAGTGGGCGCCTGTAGTCCCAGCTACTGGGGAGGCTGAGGCAGGAGAATGGCCTGAACTCGGGAGGCGGAGCTTGCAGTGAGCTGAGATCTGGCCACTGCACTCCAGCCTGGGAGACAGAGCGAGACTCCATCTCAAAAAAAAAAAAAATATATGTATATATATATATATCTCATATATATATAATATCAGCTTTTTTTTTTTTTTTTTTTTTTTTTACTGCAGATCAAAATCTCTGCTGTAAAAACTGCAAACTACCAACCAGATCAAAATCCCTGCAGTAAAAAAAACATATATTCTAGTGAGGAAAATGGGCAAGTAACAACTAAATTAGTAAAATATATACTGGGTCAGATAAAGATATGTACCAAATATCACACGTGTCCAATAAATATGTACAATAATTATGTATCAACAAAAATTTAAACATTTTTGAAAAGCCTTGTCCACTTCTATGTCTCTACACACAGCTAAAAGGGGGACTGGTTATGAGTAGGTACCCAGTAAAAATTAGTTGAAAGCATGAATGAATTCAGCCATGGCCAATGCTTTTCAAAAATTAAAAAATTTTTGTTT